TTTTTTTTTTTTTAAACTATAGTCCGGCCCTCCAACGGGTCTGAGGGACAGTGAATGGGCCCCCTGTTTAAAAAGTTTGAGGACCCCTGGTCTAGGGGTTCATTTGGGCCCTAGGGCACCCACCCTACCCATGTGTGGCTCGAGTGCCCCTTCTGAGTGCACTGTAGGTTTTGAGGTGGTGGGAAACCGAGAGGAGGGGGTGGAGAGGGATGGCAGGTGGCTCCCGATGGTGGCCCTGGAGGCATCTCCCCCACCTGCTCCTCTCAGACTGGAGTCTGTGTCCCCTTTCCCTGGGACGGGTCTAAGTGTTCAAAGTGACCCTGTGCTTCCACAGCCAGGTCGCAGAAGGGACACAGCTCCAAGGTGGTGTGGAGACCAGGTGTGGCTACTGTAGCCACTATCTGCATCAGTGTTTTATCTGTTACCCAGCCTGCCAGCAAGGGACACCATTGCACCCCCACCCTGTGCCCAGACTTCCCAACCCACAGAATCTGACGTAAGTGCTTGGGAAGATATGTCACAGCAATAGTGACCAGACAGGGGAAGGGGTGTTTATCAGGCACTCCACCCACTCTGGGACACCTCACCCTACACCATATACTCTGAGATGTCCACCCCATTCCACACACCCAGGGACATCCTACCTCACACCACATACCCCGGGGCACTCCATTGCACCTCACACCCTGTAGGACACCCCCCCCACACACACACACACCATACCACATACCCTGGGACACCCCACCCTACATCCCTCCATACCCATTGCCATCGATTCTGACTCACAGCAGCCCTACCTAAGGTGTCCAAGGCTGTACATCTTTACAGGGTCAAACAGACTCATCTTTGTCCCGAGCAAGGGGGTTTAAACCTTAAACCCTGCAGTTAGCAGCCTAAAATGAAAGCTTTACTCCATCCACTTCACAGCAGTGATCTTGCCCCTTCACACTTCTTTTGTTCCCCAAACTCGACATTTCAAAAACTCTGAAGTCTAGTAGACTTGCCTGTCATTCTACTCCCCATCCCAGCTGTCTGGGAGGCCACATCCAGGCTGGGACAGCATGCTCTCTAGAGCCCACCTGTGTCTCCTCCAGCCCTGCACGGGACACACTTACAAGAGTCTGTCAGGGGCATTCTTACAGGCATCAATAAGCTGACCCCAGCTCATGTCCCACCCAGGTGGCCTTGGCAACACTCTGCCAGAGCAACTCCCTAAGGTGATGGTAACAGCTGGTCCCTTCCTCTAAAATACCCATGCTCTTGTTCGAAGATGCAACGAACACAGGAGCATATTGGCACTCAGGACAGGAGACAGTGGAAGGTGAAGCTGGCCTTCGGGGCACTCGGCGGCCCGGTTGGCAGGAGTGTGCTGGGCTCTGAAGTGTCCACCTGTCGACCTGTGAGAGGCCGAGGCGAGTCCCCATGTAGCTCTCCCAACCCTTCCTGTCTGATGGACCAAGAGGACCAGGTCACCCCTTCCTGCTCTTCACCTTAACAGCCCGGTGGTTGATCACGGTATTCGTCTGGGACCTCACGGGGGCCCCCTTAATCCTCGGGGATCACCAAACACTATCACCTACAAAGGGTCCCTTGACTCTGTCCAACTGCCCTTCTAGAACTAGCCTCTGCTCTGATTTGTACTTTCAGGAGTTATACAGGGTTCCTGCGGGTGGCTGCCATCAGGGTCCACGCCCTTGTGTGGTTTTATTCCAAATGCCCTCAGAACGATAATGACCACGTCCAAGCACACTCTTAGCATTCACTTCATTCTGCAGGGACCCAGAGCAAAAGACAAAGTACAATTGATACAACTACTAACTGCAAATTAAGGGTCTGGAAGACCAGGATTCAAACAAAAACCCAGCAACACAGTAACGATGCCCGCAGAGCTTTTCTGCCCTTGCGCAGCAAAGCTACTCCCACAGCATGTGAGAGACCCGTGTGAAGGGGCTTCGGAAAGTGTGGGGGGGCTAAGCTATTCCCACAGCGTGTGAGAGACCCGTGTGAAGGGGCTTCGGAAAGTGTGGGGGGGCGGTCAGATGCGCAGGCATTCCCTCCACTGAGGGCAATCAGTTGCCAGACTGCTGTCTCATTCCACCACAGGTGGGCCTGCTCCCTGCCTCTGGGGACAATGGACAGGCTCCTGTAGGCGGAGTTTTCACCCTACTGATAATGGTTCCTATGAAGACCCAGAGACCCCCCTCATTACTGTGTAACCTATAGTGTAGCCCCTCCCTGTGACGTATGTTTCTACCTGTTATTAGTGGGCTGGCATGCCCCCAAAATGTATATAGGCGTGAGTCAGCAATATAGAGCTCTCGGACCTCTCTGACGGTCTGATCTCTCTGACCCCTCTCTTCCCCCTCTCCCTTGTTCCTTTGCCCTCCTTCCCTTCCCCCTCTCTCCACGTGGACCACCAAGCTGGGCTGAGGTGAACAATGCTACCATGTAACGTGTCTGACTGCATCATTGTAACAACTCTTTTATCTCTCATGCTCTCGATGACTTTAATATAATACTTATATATCTCAACCATACAACTGTGCATTACTGAACCCAGAAATAGTACTTACTGAACCAGTGAGTTCTAGTAGCGGGTTGGGGCTGGCCCCCCCACCTCACCCTCCTCGCCATTTTAATTTAATACTACAGGAAAGTCTATGGACAAATGCTGTGTGTGGCCGACAAGGAAGGCAGGCTCCTTCCCCCCTTGAGTGGTGACATGGAAGAGTGGGGGAATTTAATGACAAGGTTAACAAGAAAAGGTGTGACCAGGACAACTTTATAAAAATGTAAATCACAGTTCTCCAGTTATGAGGGAAATAAGTGGGGCTTTCCAGCTTCTCTAAGGGTCCCAGACATCATGTGCTGTGGAAACAGCTGGAAGCAGCTCAACCTGCTAGAAGGAGAAAGCTTAACCAGAGCAGCTCTGAAAGGCCCTCAGCCTCCATCATTGGCACCACTCTTAAGAAAGCCACTCTGTAGACTGTCTGGGCCACCCTCCCTCAAGGGCAGGGGAAGTAATCACATGGGATTTAAAGAATACAGGCCAGTAGGAGTAGGAAGCAAAAGCAAAGTGAACTTGTTAAAGCAACTAACTTGAACATCACAGTTTAGATCTGGGAGAAGCTGGTGTCCCTCCATTCTCATCGAGCTGGTACCCGTGGCAGGGAGGTATGCCCAGAGGCCCTGTCTGTCTCCTGTGTAGCATCAGGGACAGAGTTCACAGAAACCTGCCTGCTCAGAGGCCCCACACCCGATGTGTCTTCCCAACAGAGGAATTAGGTCAAATCAGCCTGGACACCTGTCTCCCCTTCCCACATGCCTAAGAGACATTGCCAGTGCCCTCTGCAGCCTTCGGGGGTGACCAGATGATGCAATGATGGTCTACAAGGCCAGGTCACATCAGGACCAACTCATACCAGGGCCCCATCACAGCAAGGGTCCTGGTCATGCCAGGGCTAGGTCACAACCATGCCATAGTGGGGGCCAGGTGACCCCAGGGCTCAGTAATACCAGGGCCAGAGCAAGGCAGCTCCAACGGGACGGGCATAGCACACATGGTGGGTGCTGTAGATCCTCCTGCACCCTATGACTGAGGCGGTCACCAACCCCTCAGCCTCCAGTAGAGTCAGTGAGGTGGACAGCAGCGCCTCCTTGCCTAGGGGGCCACCAAGAGATGGTCACTGTTCAGCAGGAGCCAGCACCCAGGGTCTTGGGGAGGGGCGCAGGACATCTGGCTCCATGGGTGTCCAAGGAATGGCCTCACAGTGTGGGCCATGATGTGCGGGCACCTAACTACTGACCCTGTTCCATCCCTACAGTGGGTCATTGACTTAAAAAGGACAAGAGTAAATCCTTTGCACCATTTGTACCGTTTAAAAAGTATCACTTGCCACCCGCTGGCACAGCAGGACGGTCACTTGTGCTCTGCAGGTTCAGCTGGAGGCGATGCTGGTGGTGCCACCATGGAGTTGGAGGGGGGGGTGAGGGGAAGAGAGGGGGATGGGGAAAGAAGGTAGAAGGGGAGTGGGGGGCTGATACTTACGCATCTGGGGTGATGAGCGGCAGCTTCGTGTTGCAGCCTCACCCGCTGTGGCATCATCACGTCATCCTGTGGGAAACAGCACAGCTTTACCCTCAGGTGTCAGTGACTCACTCGCCTGCTGGCTTCTATGTTCCCTCTGCCTCTTCAGCAAAGATGCACACGTCGACCCAAACAGGCCTGGTGCTGCCCTAGCAACCGTTTAGAGCAGAGCAGGACACACAGGGACACCCATGTGGACGGGTCAGACACCTGCGCAATGGTAGGAAGTCCAAAGCGGGAGGAACACGGGAGGCTGTGAGGTTTGTCAGCACGCCTCCGGGGTCAGGAAACAAACTGGAAGGAGCCCCCACCATGGGAGTATCTGAAAGAGAGTCTCTCGGTCAGAGAAACAGACAAAAGAACCCCCCTTGATGGAGAAATGGTGCCAGGAGAGGCTGGCTTGAGAGCGTGTGGGTGTGGAGTAACACTGCCCCTGGAGACCTGATTCTTCACAAACACTCCGAGGCCAGCTACTGGGCCCGTCCACAGCGGCACCGAGCAGCGCAAGCACTCCAGAGAGCGAGAGGCAGCCAGAGGATGGTCCGCTGACCGCACAAGTAGAAAGTAGGTACTTTCTACCGTTACTAGAAAGTAGCAACCAAAGGCAAAAGAGAAAATCCCAGTATGATTGGAAATTTTAAAATATAGACTTAAGTAATCTATCTGTAGGTGCAAAAAAGGGAATCAAACTGGGAAGTAGGAAATACCTCGAACGATGTAACTGTTGTTGTCAGGTGCCATCAAGTCGTTTCCAACGTACAGCGACCCTACGTACAACAGAATGACGCGCCACCCAGGCCTGCTCTGCTCTCACAACTTCTGTGTGAGCCACTGCTGCAGCCATTGTGTCCATCCATCTGGTCCTTCCTCTCTTTTTGGTGTCCCTCCACTTCACCGAGCATCATATCCTTCCCCAGGGACTCGTCTCCCCTGATAACACGTCCATCCAAAGCATGGGAGATGAAGGCTCACCATCCTTGTTTCTAAGGAGCGTTCTGGCCGTACTTCTTCCAGAACAATTTGCTGGTTCTTTGGCAGCCATCATGGTACCTTCAATCTTCTTGGCCTGCACCATAATCCAAATGCACAGATTTTTCTTCAGTCTTCCTTATTCAATGTCCAACTTTCACATGTTTCTGAGGCGAATGAAAATTCATGGTTTGGGTCAGATGAACCTTGATCCTTAATGTAACATCCTTTCAATATTGGAAAGAGGTCCTGTGCAGCTGCTTCAACGAATGCAGTGAACTCTGTGGTAACAAAATGGACCTCACAGCCAATCTCAAGAATACAGATGTAAAAATCCCAGACTAACTAGACCCAGCCATGTAGTTTTCAAAACAATGAACATCCTTGATAGTATCTATTAGAAAATTAGGAATAGCCTTGTCAATGAGGGTGGTGCGCGATGGAGACCCAATGTCCATCTCCAGACAACTGGACATACCTTGCAGAGGGGTAGTGGGGAGATGAGTCACTTAGGGTACAGTATAGCAACAATGAAGCTCACAATCTTCCTCTAGTTCTTA